CGTGTTTGTCTTCTTATAGCGTGCGGGCGCACACATGTGTTATGCCATCGTTTCTCCGTGGCGGCGGCGACAATGCGCCATGGCCAGAAGTTAGGCGCGTACAGCGAACGACGACGAATTAAACGGCGAATGATCGGCGCGTTTCGAGCTCGCCAAGTTGCGTGCCGTGCCACCTGTCTTGTCCCGTCCCGTCCCGTCTCTGCGTTGGCTCCGTCGCTCGCGGCGCGTAGGAGGAGCAGTGTATGCGGTGTCGGGGCACCGGCAACACCTTATGGGAAGGCTGCGCGATCGCGCCTCGTGGTACTAGAAAGCGCGTACGGGGGCGTTTCGAGCGCGCGCGTGTATCCCTTCCCCTCCTGCGCGCCGCCGCCGCCGCCGCCGCCGCCGCCGCCGCCGCCGCCGCCGCCGCTTCTTCCCCGTTGTTCCCTTACTCCACCATCGCCACCACCTGCCGCCGTCCCGTTTTCCTCGCATTATCACCTCACTTGGGCTCACTGTTCGCAGACTACTGTAACGCTCGTTCGTGTGTGCACGCGTGCAGCTGCTCTCCGCTAGGGATATGCAATTTCTGAAGCTTGGTATATCGCAATGCCATCTTTTTTTAGGAATCGCAATGAACGCGTTATGTCACAGTTCTGTATCGCAAATATGATTTTACATCGCGCGCGATTTTTAATTATAAGAGAGTCTGGGACACGATGGGAGCTGTAAATCAATGTTAAATATATTAAAAATAAATAAGTCAACTCTCTGTTTGCATTAAAGTATTCTTTGAAATGTCCGCTATAAGAAAACAAATTTTACTGTGAAAGAATAGTTAAAAATATCATAATCAAGTTTAATGTTTTCTTAAAAGCATCACTTAACCTTATCCTTTTTACGCGGGACAAAATGGCAGACATTTTACAAAATTTATTTATTTCCGGATCATTAATTTTCAAACGATTACAAAAATGACATTCAGATATTATGCAATATATAAGGATATGTTGTTGCACGTTTAATTAATTATAATTACTTATTGACAATATCTTTCTCATAAAACAATAAACTGTTTATTATCTTTTTTAGTAAAAAAAAAATGATAAACAATATTAAGTATAGCAATCTTGGTAATCTTCTGAAACATATATAAAAAAAATATATATAAAAATCATACATATATTATATATATAAAATAAATAACGCAATTTAACATTTTAAGGCTGTTATAATGATATAATCCCATTATATCTTTAAATGTTTGGATTAGATAATATAAAATATCATTGTCGTGCGATACTTGCACAGATATTTAAGTAAAATGATGAATGATTTTGAATTGCAGTCGCGATTTCGCGATAGAGATCCAATTATGTATCGCATTGCAATTAAAAAAAAAATCGCAGTGCTTGCGATATATCGCAAAATCGCACATCCCTACTCTTCGTTCGATCCCACACTCCCCGTCCTCGGCAAATGATTCTTAACCTCGACACTCGTGAGCGCGCGTGGTGCGAGAAATTTGTTTTGCACGAGGGAGAGAGAGAGAGAATGGTTTATATAAGAAGATGACGTATCGGAGTCGAGGAAATGCTTCTTTTCGACATATCTACGATTGGACGCGGGCTAATTAATTCCAGATAGATAGGTATATGTAACAATATTAATAACAACTTTACTAGTTGATTTATAAAGGTTATGTTCCTTGTGACTGGTTCATATGGTACTCATATTTATTACATGAAAGTGACGAAGTCGAAATACGAAAGAATTTGTCCAAAACACGTTGTGCAGAAAATGAAAACTTGTGCAAGTTCTGGTAAATTTGTAATTGCGTCAATACAACAAAAAATTTACATTATTGTATGATGTAAATCTAATAATTAATTCAGTATAGTATATTTGCCTCATAAATATAATTTAGAGAGAATATCCTGGTAAGGTTAAAGAAAAAAAGGAGTCATTTTTTTAAATAATTGTTTAATGGTCATTTTGCATATATTTAATGCTTTAAGAAGACTTTTATTTTGTTGTTTATTTAAAATATATTTTTTGAAATAAGTTCTGTAAGATAAATCTGTCTAGGAACGTAGTTACACGGCGGCCCAGATGATTGTTTCTGAACTATTAATTTTCTAAACCATTAACTTTACCATTTACTTAATGAAGTAAGCATTTTTAGAGACTACATGAAAGTGACTTTATTTGTATGTAGTGATTTTGAGAAAAGTTTTGTCTTCACCAAAATGGCAGATTTTATAAGAAAAAATCACGATTTTTCGACAAGACTCGGTTAATTTGTTGTATATCAGTTAAAAAAAAGAAAATCCATATGTACAAATGAAAAGAATTCGATTACGAAGAATTAACCGCAAGGTAGAAGTCAATCGGATTAATTTTTTTTTCTAAATATCTTTCGGGCCAGCTTTAAAAAGATAGTCTCCAGAGAATTGGATCTCTATCGCAAAATCGCGACTGCAATTTAAAATCATTCATCATTTTACTTAAATATCTGTGCAAGTATCGCACGACAATGATATTTTATATTATCTAATCCAAACATTTAAAGGTATAATGGGATTATATTATTATAACAGCCTTAAAATGTTAAATTGCGTTATTTATTTTATATAATATATGTATGATTTTTATATATATATTTTTTATATATGTTTCAGAAGATTACCAAGATTGCTACACTTAATATTGTTTATCATTTTTTTTTTTTTTA